TAAAATAAAATAAAACAATGATAGTCATTTCTTTTGTTGGAATATAAATATGTTTATAAAAAGCCTGACAGGCTGGGACATAGCTCAGGGATAGAGTGCTCCATGATTGAGGCCCTGGTATAAGCCCCAGCATCATAAGAAAAAAACAAGTTTAACAGATTTAGGAAAAAATAAAGAAGAAAATAAATACATACAAAATCCTCCTTCTCAGATCAGAGAAGCACTATAAATGCTCTGGGGCATGTAACCTTCTAACCTTTCTGTTTACATTTGTACTGAGAAAGTCACGTTAAGACAGCACAAGGCTGGAAGAGCTGGCATCTGCCCAGGACTTACAGTGATGATGTTCGTAGTCTCGTGGAGGAGCAAGGTGGTGGACACAACTGAAGGGGAAGTGTGGATGGGCCAGGCAGCTGAGCCATGTCTGAGAAGCATCTGTCAGAACTATATGGACCAGCAGCCTGCCATGCCCAGCCTCTTGAGCTACCCAGTCTTACCTGGGGAGGAGGAAGCGTGGTGCTCTCACACTATGGTTTTGTCCCCACCAAAACATGCTGAGGGCTTGGCCCCCAGTACAGTAGGGTTGGGAAATGAGGCTACTGGGAGGTGCTTGGCTCATGGGGGTGGAGTCCCCATAAAGGTATGAATCCATTTTTCACGTGAGTTCTCCTTCCCTCATATGAAACTGGGTCTAGTTTAGTTACTGCGAGAGCAAGCTCTTATAAAGCACCTTCACTCCTTGTTTTGTCCCTTTCAAATCCACCTACTTGCACTTCCATGAGTTGAAGCAACAACACTAGGTGCTCACTAGAAACTGACCAGATGTGGTCACTGATCATGGACATTCCAGCCTCCGAACAATGAGCCAAAATGAACTGTTTTTCTTTATAAATTACCCAGTCTCAGATATTCTGTTAGAACAGAAAATGGAACAAGACACTTGCTCAGCCCACAAGAAAGAGGGAACAACAGCAGAACCATGACAAACCTAGAGTCTATACTTTAACAACCATGCCACTATACTCTGAATGTCACATCCAGATCTGTCCAACAGACAGCTAGCAGGAAAAGAGACACAGCTGAGACTGATCATCCACATACCATTCATGTTCCAGGTAAAGGCATCCCGCAGCTTCTGCCCATCGATCTCCATGTCCAGCCGGATGGGCACTAGCACCTCAGGCTGAGATGCATTCTCATGAATCACAGCTGGGTCATGGTCATCAAAGCTGAAAGTTAAATAGCAACAATAGTCAGCCAGGACACCATGGCTCCCTCTGGCTGGGGCCCAAGGATATGAGTTTTCAGCTTCCTTCTGCACCTCAGGTCACTGCAAACGTGGCTGGAGAGGAAAGGTCACTTCTTACAGGCACTTATCACCTACTACTGAAGCCACGCAGATGAGATCAGGAGAGGTCGCAAAGCCACAGTCTTACTGGGGTGGTAGGGGCTATAAATGACAAGCATCAGCCCATAGGTAACAAAAGTTATAACAGAGCAGAACTGTATGTTTCATGGACACACAGGGAAGGGTCAGAACTGCTGACCTATGCAGTGGAACAAGACCTAGGCATACTTCAATGGGAGATTAAAGGACAAAGTGGGCAGGAAACTGTGGGAAAGAAGGATATTTATAGAAGAGGAATAGTCAAGCAAAGGCCAAGAGGCAGGAGAACGGAGGAACTGCTGAGGGAGCAGCCAAAGACTGCCAAAGGTAGAGAGATCATACAGGGGTGAGGTCCCGAGACTCTGCAAAGCCAGGAGGTGCTGAAGTGCCGACAGTTCTCCATCTCTGGCCCCTGCCCACAGGAACCCTCAAGATTCTGAGCAAGGAAGTACTGTATTTTGGGAAGGCAAAGAGGGCAGAGATGGAGCAGTCAGGTCGGTGAGAGGGTGCAGATAAAACCTAAGGCATCTGTGAAACAGAAAAGATGGAAAGCAAGGAAAACACTTGGAATGACAGACATGAGTGCTTTGGGAAGTGGCAAGAATGCTAGAGGTAGAAGTGGCTATTTAAAAGGAGGAAATGACATCTAAACTGAGATGGGAGGGTGGCAGGAGGAAAGGAAGAAAAGTAAGGAGGAAGAAAAAAGGAACAAAGGAAGGAGGGATGAGGGAAGGAGAGAGGGGCAGAGGGAGGATGGGGTGAGCCCTGTAGAAGGTGGGCGTGAGCTCCAACAGAGTGAAGTGTGGGGCAGAACTCTGGATGACCTGACAGAAGTGAGGTGAGGCCAATTTTTCGAGCAGAGCACAGTAGTTGCAGCAGTACCACGCAAGGCAGTCCAAGAGAACCCAGCCTCTGTTCCAAATATGACTAGAGTCTGGAGGATTCTTCAAGGAGTTACCCGATCTGCCTGGGCAAAGAGGCCCATGCTAGCTGCAGAGCTGAGAAGGCAGCAAGGAGGTGAGCTGGGTGCAACCACTCAGCAAGACCCAACAGGTAGCTGGCCAAGGGTGGCCCGATTCCAGGAACCTGGAGGGTTGAGCAAGTAGGAATCTGCTGAGACTGGACTCGTGGCATAAGAAAAAGGAAGGAGATAAGAAAGAGTTCCAAGCTCTTGGCCTGAACAAGGGCAAGGACGGATGCCAACCTCGAGATGGAGAAGTCCGAAGGCAGTGTGTGGCTGAGGATGTAAGGCCAGCAGCTGTGGAAGTCTGGGCCTCAGATACAATGTGGGTATAGGAGCCTGAAAAATGTTTCCCCAAACACATCTATGTCCTAATCCCATAAACCTGTGACCATTACCTCATGTAGCCCAAAAAAGGAGACTATGCAGATGTGACTAAGAGAAGGCTCTTGAGAGACTGTCCAGCTGGGCTATATATTACACCACAGCGTCTTTTTTCTTTTTGGCAGTACTGGGGACAAAGCCAGGGCCTCGCGCATGCTAGGCAACTGTTCTACCACTGAGCTATATACCCAGACTTTTTTTATTTTTTAACTCTGAAAAAGAGTCTTGCTAAGCTGTCTAGGCTGGTCTTGAACTTGTGTTCCTCCTGCCTCAGCTTCCACAGTAGCTAAGTGAAAGGTATTTGCCATAGCACCTGACTCACAGTATCCTCCTAAGAGAGAAACAGAGAAAGATTTCATAAACAGAAAGGAAGAGGCCGTGGGACTATGGAGGCAGAGAGTAGAGTGATATGGTCACAAGCCAGGGAATATAACAGCCACCAGAGCTGGACGAGGCAAGGATCAGACTCGGTCCCTAAAGGAAACACAGCCCTGCCTATACCTTGATCTGGACCCAGTGAAACAGATTTCAGACTCCTGGCTTCCAGAACTGCAAAAGAATAAATCTGTGCTGCTTTAAGCCACCCACTTTGCAGTGGTTTGTCCCAGTAGACACAAGGACAGACACAATAAGAGTCCTATGGATGGCATGTGAAACCCCCAGATTGGCTATGACCAGCTGCTGAGAAACAGAGGGCAGAGAAAAGTCCAGGGACTGTGCTCCCAGCAGCCTGACTGAGGTACTGGCAAAGGGAGGGAAAAAAAGTGAGAGATCAAAGCAGGGAGAACCAGGGAGGCCAGGGAAAGCCAGTGACAACATCTTGGAAGTTGGGAGAAACAGTTTTTCAAGGAACGGGAAGCACTGGTGTAGTATTTAGGACAACCCTAGGTCACAGCAGATTTCTCTGGAAAGGAGACTAAAAATAAAAGTCACTGGAGAGTGGAAGTAGACTCCATGTGCAGGTCCAGTGTGGCAGTGTAACTCACCACAGAGGGAAGGTTCTCTTCTTGTCCCGGCCCATGCGGTTCCTATTGATGGTGGTGGAACATGGCACAGCATCCAGATGATGGGAGCTGTTGGGCAGGGTGGGGACCCACTGGCTGTTCCTCTTGGCCTTCTGTTCCCTGGGGAACATAAGAAAAAGGCCTGGTCAGATTAGGGGTCTAAGTCTGCCCAGCAGGCCCCTACTCGTGTTCAGTGGAAATTGTGCAGGGCTCCGGGCTCCTGACAAGGGTGTTTGTGCACCCCTGACTCTGTGGGGCTCTGCTCCCCAAGCTCTCACCGGCACCTAGAAGTATCTGGACAAGGAAAAGGGTACAAAAGGATGGTAGGCACTGCCCAGGGCACAAGTCAGTTACAAACCCCTGGCCATGGCATACTGCAGTATGTGCTAGGCATGGGCCCCATAAAGGAATGTTTCCGATTAGGCAAAGGGGCAAAAGAGGGAGGCTTCCCAGAAGGGTGAACACTGAAGAAGAACCTTAAATAGGGAGTCAGGGTTCACCGCATGTTTAAGACAGAGCACAGGAGCAGTGGGGGTGACAGTGCTAGAGGAGTTAGAGGCTGGAGATACAGAGGCCCAATAATAAGGTCTCACAGACTCTGTGAGAAATCGTCGGCTACTGTGGCTTTCTTCATGATAGCCTGCCCTGCTTTCTCCAGGTTGATCTTTTATCTCGCCTCTTCCTCTTTTACTTGGCCCAAGCTCACTCTGCAGAGCCAGTTTCTCTCTCACTCTTCACTTTTACTTTTTCAAATAAACTTTGCCCCTGATTAAAAGAAAAAAAGAGGCTATCTTTATTCAGCAAGTGGCTGGTAGTCTCCAAAAGGATAGAAGGGAGAAATGTGATCAGATTGTGATGGTGATGATGATGATGATGATGATGATGATGATGATGATGATGATGATGATGATTCTTATTATTTTGAGAGGTTCTTACTTCGCTGGCTAGGCTGGCCCTGAACTCCTGGATACAAGCAATCCTCCCACCTTACCCTCCTGTGCAACTAGGACCACTGGCAGATACCATCACACCTGGTAGACTGTGATTTGATTTTATTTATTATTTAAAAAAATTTTTTTTTAATTTTGTGAGACAGGGTCTCGCTATGTAGTTCAGCCTGGCCTTGAACTCACTCAGCCCAGGCTGGCCTCCAACTAATGGCCCTGACTCAGTCTCTCAAGTGCTGGGATTACAGGCATGCATGACCACACTTGGCCAGATTATGATTTTTTTTTTGGAGGGGGATGCAAATAAGTTTTAGAGATTGTAAACCAAAATGAGCATTTGTGACACACTTTTTGTCCCATGGGCATGAGATTTAGAGAAGATATTCTCAAATGACAAAAAAGACCAAAAACAAAATAAAAAAGTGAGAAGAGTGACCAATAATGAATATGATTTTTTAAAGCAGGTAACAGAAATATTAATTTTTTATAATTATATATCCTCTGCATTCTCCACATACCATAAAAATGATTTGGTTTAGCTTTCAAATATCATTTAAACATAAAACAAACATGACAGAGAGGGCAGATTGTGATTTTTAAATGCAACAGCTATACTAAGATGGACTAGGCAACGCTTCTGGTCTCTGACCTTCCAGAACAAGAGATGAGAGAAGAATTAGTAAATATCTTCTACACAGTGACCCCCAGAGTAATTTAAATAACTTACATCCCATGAAGGACTCACTCTTTTGTCTGAATTCCAGGTTGCTTTTACTACTGGGGGATTCCCAGAACTACCTTACACTGAGGCTCCAGTTCTGGGTTAGGCAGATGACAGGACTTAGGTTCCCACAGTGCTATGCATGTTTGTCTTCCCTAGTGGAACCATAAGCAACATTCACCTTTATAGTCCCACCACCTGTACACACAGTTCCTGCAATTACTGCCCACCACATTTCACAGCAAGTGATAAGTTGCTGGACAACACCCTCCAAGGAGGAACCTGGGGGAAGCAGGATGCAGGCCTTTCTTCTTTCCACAAGTGGGAGAAAGCCCTTGGCTCTTTAACTCTTTTCTTCAAAAGCTAGAGCCACTTATATTTCCAACACCGAGGTCCAAGACCAACCCTTGAGTGTAGATGGGGCCAGGGCGGGATCTACAGTACCCAAGTTGCCAAGGACTACAGCAAATCTCCTATATTGCAGGTCTTGCTCTGATCTTATCATCAGCCTTAGAGACCTAGAACAATTGGGAAAAGTGGAATTAATATGCCCAGGGCCTAAGAGCTGGGAAGCAAGTCCAGGGTCCCCATCTCAGCCTATCTTGGCAAGTGGTTTACACAGAGTGCAAAATTTTAAGTAGCAAATTCCTAAGTCCTACCTACCCAGATCAAGTGATTTCCCATCACTGGAAGAGGGCCTGGGATTACAGATTCTTTGTAACTTCCATGGACAAGTCCAGTGAAGCTGGGATGGATATCCTCCTATAGCTTGCACTGAGCTTCCACCCCTCATCCTTCAAAAATCCTGCCCAATTTTGGTAGCAATCTCTCTCATTTCTAGGCCCAGGCTGCTCTAGCAGCCTCTCATCTTGTAGCCATTTCAAGTAAAGAATCCAAATTATGTTACAGATAACAGGCACAGCAAACATAACATACTCACACAACATGAGAAACAGAATAACATACGCAGAAAATGAGAATCTAAGTCATGAAATCCAACCTGGGTCTCACTATAAGATCTCCCAAGGGCCCAAGAAGGGGCATCCAGCCTCTGCCTGAACTGTGATAGGGTAGGGAGGCTGACAGGCCCCTTGCCAGGCTGACTGGGCAGCAAGGAGCCAGCACAAGCCACTTTGGTCAAAACTGCTACTGCCTACAATTGACGTCCTGCCTCCAGGATGACAGACTTCTTCTATTCCTTCAGCTGGTCTTCATATGACACAACAGTCAAGAAATTATTTACCAACCCATAAAAGGTTCTCAGCTGACATGTGCAAACTTAAAAGTAACATCCATATGCACATAATTTCCTTCTGTGACTTTCCAGGAAGATCTAGCCATCCTTATGTTTTTTTGTTTGTTTGTTTGTTTTTGGTACCAGGGATCAAACTCGGGTCCTTACGCTTGAGCAGCAGGCGGCAAAACCACTGAGCTAAATCCCAAGCCCCATCCTTATGTTCTTACCACATCCCTTAGGGGATCAAGAATCTGCCGAGCACAGGTCTACAACAATGCCCAAGCTGGATGCATGCCATCTTTCTTGGGGGGAGTCATAAAAATAATCCAATAGAAAAGTTCATAGAAAAAACTGGAAAGAAATGATTTTCCACAACCACATCACTCTGAACAATACCTCCCCCGCTTAGTGTTTCCTGGTTTTTGTGCACAGAAATCCTTTTTTCTTGAGAGCTGGAAGCATTGGGTAGGTAGGTACAATCTGGTACTCTATATGTCTCACTCATGTGAGCCATGTCTCAGGTTCTTGCAGGGTCTACTTAATTATGTTGTATAAGGTCACATCCCAGTCCGTTCAAGTGGGTGCATCCTCCAATACCTGTAGCCCTTCCCTAAGGCTAAACACTCATTGTGGGGTGCTGGCTCCACAGTTTCCATTATTATTCACAACTCTCCAAAGAACATCTCTGTACATGTAATGAGTTGACTTACTTTGTTCTTTTAAATTCTTTTTTCTTCTGTTTCTTTGTTTTGAGACAGGGCCTTGCTATGTAGCTCAGGCTAGCCTCAAACTTGCAATCCTCCTGCCTCAGTCTTTAAGTGTTGGGATTACAGCCGTGTCTCATCACACGTAGTTTATTTTTAAATTATTTCTAGTTCTATCACACATTTCCCAGTTCTTTATGTTGCTAGTTTTTTGAGTGAATGGTAAAGCACTTTGTACTTAGCATGTACAGGGCCATGGGTTTAATCCTAGCACCTAAAAAACTAAGATTACACATAAGGACAAGCATTCTTCTTGTTGTTTGTTTTCCCCTTGTATTTTCCAGATGTGGACTATCCTTTATTTATTTACCTACCGGGGACTGGGAGTGTAGTTCAGTGGTAGAGCATGTGCTCATGGGGCACTGATTTCAATCCCCAGCACCATGAATACAACAAACAAAAAACCAAATCTACTACAGCAATGATGGCAAACCTTTTAGAGCTATGAATGATAAAAACAACCTGCTGTGGCACATGTAGGTTTGCTACCAATGTACTAGGAGTATCCACATTTTTCTTGTAAATCTGAATATACAGGCAAAAACATACAGAAAATTTCTAGTTATTTGCCTTTTTAACTGTCACTCACAAATATGTCACTCAGAAATATTCTTTTAAAGGTTTTAAATTTTTATACACTCAAATCCACTGCTTGTTTCTTTTGTGACTTTATCTGAGCCACTAATTTTTCTGACATATGACTCCTACTCTCAAAGCACTCCTAATCACTCTCCAGAATTCAAGATTTGGCTCTGTTTCTTAGGAACTCAGACACAGAAGAAACTTAGAAACTCTGCTAAGACAATTGCAAGCACAGTGGACAGTACTGAAAGATAGTTCAACTTTACCCTCAGCTGTTTTTGAGTAAGAGAGAAATCCCGTGGTGTCCCTGGAGCATACCTGAGCCAGGAGCACATTACCTGAGGTAGGTGGGGGGTTCCGTGCTGATGGACACAGCCTTATACTTCTCATCATTGCCGTCAAGAATCTCTTCCACCTCAGAAGCTTTTAACAGAGTCACACTGGTGGCAAGGGTGGTATATCCATGATCTGTAAATGGAGAGACACTACTGCGGTTACCCTGCTGGGGGTGGTAGCAAACATCAGCCAGCCAACTGGATACAGCACATCAAGTCCTTGCATGCAAGAAGTGGAAAAAGCAAGGTGTCAAACTTACTACTGCTGAATGCTGGCCTCTTCCAAACGGGCAATCTGGACGGAGGGCTTTATTTAGAAGTGCTACTTAGGACCGACTTGGACTAATGTGCTCCAGAGCACTGGCTCAAGGACAGAGGAAATGTTTGGGACAGCTGCAGCACCAGAGGCTGCAGCACAGCCCCCTAGGACTCAAGAAGCTCCAGAGGAATACCCCAGTGGGAAGAGGTCGGACACCACCACAATCTACAACATGAAGCAAGGTGAGGAGATGGAATGAAAGATGAGTACTTTTCTTTTAAAACAAGAGCTCAGAGAGTTGGAAAGAGCTGCTTCACACCAAACAGGAATTTCTGTTCCCAAGCCAGTCTATAGGTGCTATCTGGAAAACAGGATAGATTTGTGGCAACTTGACCCTCAGGTCTTCTCTTGGTCAAGAGCTGTTACCTGTCTGTGGGCCCAGTCTGGCTTCTCCTAGAGGAATCAATTGGTTATGGGGAAGTTATCTCCAAAGCACAAGCCAGAACCATCACCAAGACTTCACCAGGGACTTGTGGAGGGGAAAGCAAAGCTAGGGAGTCACTGTGTTAGTGACTGGTGCTCCACTTGGGGCAGAAGGGGACACATAGGAAACTGTTTTAGGCAAGTGAGTGGAAATGTTATAGCAACAGAAAAAAAGCAGCTCTGGCTCCTGCGTTAAAAGAACCCCTAGTCTGCCCACAGTGGGCAAAACCACAGCAGGACCTACAGACACACGAAACAGGACAGACTGAAGCACGACACATCACACACCCACACCCACAAACACACACACACACACACACACACACACACACACACACACACACACACGCAGGCCCAGGGCAGCTCTCTCCAAGGCGCCATTGCTAAGTGGGAAACGCTTCTGCCACCTGCCAAATGGCACACTGCATCCATATCCAAATGTTCTGTCAGAAAGTGTCCCATGACAGAAGCCCTAGAAATCTCTGAAAAGCATCTCTGCCTTGCACAGAGCTGCCATGACCCAAAGCACACTAGTTTTACTAGTGTCAGGCACTCACTAGCAAGCCCCAGGCACACAGCAGGCCACAATGGAGCAGGGACATGCACATGAGCTTAGCACACTCACTGCCGGCATGAAGTGCTATGGGATGGATATGTTTGGAGAGGCAAGCAGTGAAAGCCCAAGAGGGGAGTGGGGGCTGGGGCCACCACCCACCACTAGAGCTGCATGAAGGATGACTATGGAGACACACCCACAGCAGATGGTAGAGCATCGAAGCATTCCTAAAACGTTTTGAGACCAACATGTCTTCACAGCACCTGCTACTCTACCTATCTGGGCCTACTCACACACCCACTGGCCCAGCTAGAAATACTTGACAGTGGACCACCGATGGCTCCCAGAGCCATGCTCTTACCTGAGCCTCATATGTGTGCTCGAAGGTCGGCCCCTCCCCTGGGACAGTCCCTGCCTAAGGTCAAGGCTGCAGTGAAGACACTGGAGTGAAAACGTTTTATCTTCATAACATAAGCAACTGGTTTTGAAACAGGTTTACAAACCCTCGTGAAGACGCACCCTTAGTGTTAGGTTTTGTTTTTTTACCATGTGACGATGCAACTATTTTCTTCCTCTCTTCCACAGTGGCTAGTCGCCTCCAGAGTGAGGGGTATCTCTTGTACAGAGAACCTCGGAACATACGGAGGTAGTTTCCCACCTATGGGTAAAGCAAGAGGGCTCATTATGAGGGTCACATCTCCATGTGAAGGGGGACAGTCCTCTTCAGCTGAATCTAGTGTCCAATAAACAGGCCTCAAGATGGCCCCCAGGCACCAAGCTTTTAGCAGCAATAAAACACATTCTGCTGACATCAAGGGTTCAACAACAGTGCACATCTGGCCTACATCTGTGCAGAGTTCCAAAGGCCTGACCAGATGTCTGCAAGGGAGGCCCTCAGAGCTTAGTAAGAAGGCTCCAGAGCTCAGCAAGAAGCTCATGGTGATTTTTATTTTGGACTAAGGATCTCTGGCACTTTCTAGAAATACAAGGCTTCTTTAACCTTCTTTTATCTCAAGAAGCAGACTTTGATATTTTTATGATGTAATAAACACCAAAAACGTCTTCTAATTTTAGACAGATGCAGGATAATTTCCTCCATGGCCCATGTTGCTTTCTTTAGTAACAAAACCCAAACCAGGACACCAAAGGAATTTTTCCGAAAAGTCTAAAGAGCACTTACTGGAGATCACCAGACTGCCATATAAATCATTACTTTCCCAAACAATAGCTTTGGTTTGTTTATACCAAATACTGAAAGTACAACTTTCCTCATGAAATGAAGGCTAGTTCTAAGGTTTTTATAAAGACAACTAATGGTCTCATTAACTTCGCAAAGATGATCACTCCAGAGTCATACTGTGAGGGACAGCCATTGTGGATGGGATGCCAGGTGCTGTTTCCACATGTGACCTGGAATTATTTTCTTTTTTGGGGTCTCTTTACTCCTCTGTTGGCATCTGTGAACTTTGCCCTACAAAGGATCACTTCTATTATTTTTTCCAGTCCATCTTCCCAGGATAGCGCATATTTATTAAAAGTGTGCTTCTCCATTTCTCACTAAGGAAAGTTTTATACAATTAACAACCAGAGCTGAAGAACACAATGAGAGAAGAATAGCCACAGTCATCCCTCATGTGCCACATAGACAGCGCAGTCACCTCATTGCTCCTTGGTGTGTGTGTCATCACCAGCCAAGGGTAAAAATACACTTTCCATTAGGTTTTGAAAATAATTTGAAATACTGGTACCCATCAATACCATCACAGTCCTGCCGGGCTCTTGGATTCCAGATCCCTCCCAAGGTCCCTTCAGAACTTAGGACACTGAAGCTTGCCTTCCTGGCTTTTCTCAGCTTTAATCCTCTCTTGATCTCAGTATTCTGAACGTAAATTGAAGATCCTGAATTTGGGGATTTCATAAGGTCCTCTCAGCTCTATGAGTCTTAAATCTAACTGCCTGCAGGTACTGGGAGAAGAGTGATACATAGCAACTGGAGATGCCCTCCCAAGGCAGCTCATAGAGGTCATACAGAGGTACTGTCTATGTTGATATGGCCAGCCTGCCTCTCTGAATACAGAGCCCAGGGTCATCCATCCAATTTTGTTACAGGAGCTACTCAACAGAAATAGCACTATGACCTTGAACCATTCCCTAACTTCCAAAGGTCTGATGACTACTAAGCTAGGCCCCAGAAAGCCAAATGCCTCTCCATTTTGGTCTCAGAATGATTATTCTCACTCAACAGGGAGGGCTAGGAGTGATGAAGCTGAAAGAGAAGACTAGTTAGCTTTCTAGAACCTAAAATGTGTTGAAGAGAAGACCTTAAAACATCTCATTATACACATGAGAAACATGACACCAGCTGGGGATCTGGTTCAATGGTAGAGCATGTGCACAGCATGTGCAAGGCCCTGGATTTTTTTGTTGTTGTTTTTTGAGACAGGGTCTCACTATTAGTTCAGGCTGGCCTCAATCTTCCTGTCTCACCCTCCCAAGTGCTGGGATTATAAGTGTGCACCACCATGCCTGACTCAGATTTCTTTAAACAACCTGTCCAATATCACATATTGAAACTCAACTTTTTTTTTTTTTCCTTTTGGTACCGGGGGATCAAACTTGGGTCCTTCTGCTTGCGAGGCAGGTGGTGGAACCACTGAGCTAAATCCCTGGCCCTCCTCAACTATCTTTTATAGCCTACAATTAAGCAGGAGCCTATTGGCTAATGACCATTCTGAGCTGTGGCAGATGGATTGGCACAGCTCCATGTCCCCAGCACAACCAGTCATCTTGGAACAGTAACACTTAAGTGATAATGTGAAAATGTTATTCCATCCTGCTCTTTTTGTTTTACAAAACTTCTATAAAAAATGGAAACAAATATCTGATGCTACTGACGTTATTGGTTTCATAACTTGACACAGCGAAGACAGGAATCATGGGGGAGTCCTGAAAACTTCAGGATGACCATTATGAGTTTCATTCAGCATGCTCTGCTGAAACTGTTTCCAAAACAAACAAAAAGCATGAATGAAATGTTGGAGTATGATGCTGAAAACTGATGTACCTAGAAGTAATCCTTGCCATTCTGCAATGCAAACTGTCCAGGTTTGGAACTTGCCTCCTTACATGAGAAACTCTGCTGCTTGGCATTTGCACATCCGAATTTTCTATCTATAACTGTTTAAACAAAAGGAATATAAATGACTTGAGTACTGCTGTTAGACCTAAAAAGGCTACGATAATCTGCAAAAGCTTAATATAGTCAGTAAAAACCTACACTGAAAGGCCAACTGTAGGGTTTTTCCTAAAGTCAACTGTCAATTCCTAAAGTCACCTTATTCAACAAACTGACCTTCCACTTCTAGGCAAAGATTGAAGATCTTTAGGATCTTTCTCCTGTAATAGTTCAGAATCAGTTCACAGATATCCAAAGTATCAATTGCTTCCGAATTGCTGAAAGATCTAACTCCAACCACTGGCACCTTATCCATCCCGAGGCAAACATCCTTCTCTCAACCTGTTCCTTCAGGTAAACAAAGATCAAAATATCTCCACCGCCCACCTCAGAGCAAAAAACAAAAAGGGGAAGAGCCCTTTCTAAGCCTCAGGGTTATAACCAGAGATTTCAGGACCCAGCAGGAAGGAACGGGGGTGGGGTGCATCTGAAAGTCGTAACATCCAAAAAGTTCAAGAGCCGCAGAGCACCCCAACCACCCCCGCTTCCCCCCAAGAGCCACAGGGGATAATCGGACATCCCATTTCTTTGCGTCTGGCTGGAATTGTACCAACTCACAACTGGGCCAGTGGCACCCTAAACCTGGGCAGCTGGGTATGCCCGAATTCCCCAAGTAATGGATAAATAAACCAAAATTCTACACTTAGGGGCCGGCCTGGTCACGCCCTCCAAGCCACGCCCAACGGGGCACGCCCCGCAGGCCCAAGCGCGCGTCCGCCTGCTGCTGCGATGAATGGAGACGCGCGCCCCCGCTCCTGGCGCACAGGCCCGCTCCGGGGCTTCCGTAGGGCCGGAGCCGGGGAGGGTGAGAACGCGCCGGGGGCTACCTCCGAGCCGATCATGTAGAATTCGCCGTCGTCCTCCAGCTGGAACTTGACGGGCTTCTGCCCGAAGGTCTTGCTCAATGCCATCATCATCATTGCGGCAGGGGTGGGCGGCCGAGGCCGAGCTATGAGGACTCAGGTAGGCTGGGGCAGGGCTGGAGGACACCGGACTGAGGAGAACCGAGGCCAGAAGGCAAAGGCCGGGCTGAATTGGCCCTCGCGCCACCACCGGTTTCCCCAGCTGCCGCCGCGACGACCAGGCCACCCTTAGTGCGCATGCGCGAGCGTTGACGCTAACGCGCGCGTCTCCGCCACCGCCTGAACCAAAGGCTAGGCGCGTCCCTGCTGACACCTTAAAGGAGCCGGGACTAGTTTCTCTTCCACTCCAGGCTTCATCCCAAGTCTGGTGTAATGGAAAGCTTCTCACCGACAGAAATAGCCACCGGGGTTCTCCCTGACTCAGGCAGTGGCTTTTGTAGTTTCACAGCTAGGACTGGCTCTCAGCCCAGGGGCGAAAAAAGGAAATGGGGCCTGCAGGCCAGAAGGAAGATTTATCTGAAAGCCTAAGTGGCCTGAGCATGTTTTGTGACCTCAGGCTGGCGCCTCAATTTCCCCACCTCGAAAACCCAGTGCAGCTGAGCAGATAAAAGGGCTCCTAGGAACAGATATCCCATTTCTGAGCCCACAGCTGTTTCTGCGGCTGTAGGGATGGACAAAATGACCACACTGGGTTGGGGTTGGCTTGGGCAAAGGCTCTAGGGTTTGGCAATATTCAAAGTCCCAGGTGGTATTTGGTTTGACTGGTGCATCAGATGAGCGTTGAAGGGAAGAGACATTTTCTCCATTCTTCCCTTAGCTCTCTGCTTTGTGCCTACAAGCTCAGCCCTGCCCTGGCTCTGTCCCATAGCACCCCTGAGGATCAACCAACACTAAGGAAAGTGTTAAAGCAGTTCATGCATCTGAACAATGCTGTGAGCCAAAAATGACACACTAATGATGATTTTATACAATTCAGTCTAATACAATTGCAGCTGTGATTGTGTGATAGATGCTTTTTTTTTTTTTTTTTGGTACTGGGGATCGAACTTGGGACCTTTCGCTTGTGAGGCAGGCGCCGGAACCACTGAGCTAAATCCCCGGCCCAACAGATGCTTTTTGTTTTGTCTTTCAATACTGGGGATTGAACACAGCCTTCACACATCTACATCTGCAGATAAATAGATACAGATACAGATTGATCTCTCTATATATGTCTCACTATGTAGCCCAGGCTGGCCTTGAGCAACTGCAATCCTCCTGCCTCAGCCTCCTGAGTGCTGGGATTATACCCATGAGCCACCACGCCCAGTCTTTTTATATTTTTTTGAGACAACATTTTGCTAAGTCACTGAGTTGGCCTGGGCTAGACTCAAACTTGAGTCTTCCTGTCTTGGCTTTGCAGAGTGCTGGGAACACAGGCATGTACCTGGCTTGATAGGTTCTATTATGAAAAAGATATGTGGGGCAGGAAGTCGATGCAAGGAGCTGCTGGACAATTGGAAAGGGTAGTGGTAGTATCTGTGAGTTCTGTTGTGTTCTCACAGCAGTGGGAATAATCAAGGTATTTTAGGATAGGGCTGGGTTATGGTACGATCAGATAAAATGACGCCACATTGGAGGATGAACTGAAGGGGTAGGCAGGGAAGCAGGGAACTAGTTAAGAAGCCTCTGCAGCTGTCCCTCCACTTGTAATGGAGGAATAGATTAGGAACCTTGAGCACGGTGCCCCAGGGCCCAGAAGCTTAGGGAAAGGGGGTTTCAACCTTAGCTCCCAGCCCAGGCCCCACCTTAGCCAGGCTTCCTCATCCAGACTACACAGTCACAGAGACAGCAGACAGGCAGGTAGAAAACAATTGTGTTTAATGATAGTCCTCAGTTTAAAAAAAAAAAAGGCTTTGTTTTGTACACTGTATACACATTTACATCACTTTGGAGGATACCAGTGCTAGAATGAGGGCTGCAGGAAGAAATGACATGGACAAGACTGAGGTATGTTGAGGCCTCCAGGGCTCAGGGTCTCCAGGGTCTCCCAGCTGGCTGTGGACATTTGGGCCTGAACCCTGGAGAGGAGATCTCTAGGGTCACCAGGCAGAAGGTGGCCAGATCCAAGCATCTACCCAGAGTTGACTTCTCAGGAAAGGACCCCTCCTGGAGGCCCAGTTGCTTGGCCAGAGCAGAAGGCCATGGGGACCCTGGCACCCCAGCTCCAGCACCAGCACCCAACAGGAACCTCACAGCAGGGATGGAGTGAGGACACTGTAGTTCCCCATCTCTGCTGAGGTCCTACCCTGAGGCACAGGAATGGAGACACAGGTTTGGCCATGACCTACATAGGTGGGTGTAGCTGGCCCAAGACCACCCTCCTTTAAGTAAGGCCAAAGGCTCCCTGCCCAATCTGAGACACTTGCTGGCAGGTGACCACGACCCGCGTGGCCCTCCCTGCAGTTGTCATGGTGATTGTACCCCTACCACACCCCCTGAGGAGACAAAGGCTCTGTCCCATGCCTGATCTGAGAGCCACAAAGGTGGCTGTGGTTCTTTATCCTGATATAAGTGGCCTGGCAGGGGTCAGAATCCCTGAAGGCATCCAAGCTGTGGTCAGCGGAAAGTGTTGGCAGGTTCAGCACAGCCAAAGAAGTCAGGGCCCACAAGACGTGGGAAGCCCTCCAGAACTTTCACCTTCACAGGGTCAAACTTCCAGTAGAGGCGGCCACGCAGGAAGTAGGCATAGCCTGAAGAGAGAAGGTCAGGCCTCAGCAAGTGGATGTGGGGCCCCATGACTACCTATCAGGCTGTGGCCAGGGATAGGGAAAAGGGGTGAGAAGGCCTTGGCTACTGCCAAGTTTCGTGAAACCTACAGCTCCAGAGCTAGCCTTCTAGAACCTCCTTACCTTCCAGGCAGCCCTTCCGCCTGCACAGGGTCCAGTCCAGGGTAACACCCACCCTCACAGATGCCAGGAGCTCCAGGGTTCAATTCTTATCTCTCAAGAAAGCAGGTCTTACTCCTCTCACCAACCTCTTTGTCACCCTAATTTCTCATCTAATCAGACTACAAAGGTGGCATCCTGGAGTTCCAGAGCCTGAGGCCACGCTAAGACAGCTCTCCCACTGGGTCCCAATGAGGGAAAGCACAGAAGCCAAGATGGGCTGGCAGGTGAGATCACTGGGCTCTGAGTTCCAGCCTGGTTCTAGGGTCCTGTGCCTGGGGGAGGCCAAATTAGAAGAGATTGTCTGATGGGAGTTCTGGCTCCATCACTGTCTGTCTCAGTGGCCCCAGCTAGGGATCTGAGCCTCTCTTTGCCCGTTTGAAAACTGGGTTCATAAAAAAGTGTTACATGGCGGGGCGGGGTGGGGGGGGATCTAGCTCAGTGGTTCCGCCGCCTGCCTCGCAAACACAAGGTCCCAAGTTTGATCCCCAGTACCAAAAAAGAAAGAAGGAAAGAAAAAAGTGTTACATGTTGGTGCATGCCAGTAATCTCAGCACTCTGGGAGGCTGAGGCCAGAAGATTATAAGTTGGAGCCTGGCCTGGGCAATTTAACAAGACCCTGTCTCAAAATAAAAATTTTTTTAAAAGGCTGGAGATGTAACTCAGTGCAAAGACCTGGGTTAAATCCCCAGTACTGGAAAAAAAAAAAATGGTTGTGGCTGAGGGATCTAGGCAAGTCCTTGCATCTCTCTGGCCCTCAGTCTCCTCACCTACAACCTGGGGTGGAGCACCGGCTGGCTACCAGGAGGATAGATGGCACTGGACAAAGGACCTCTGATGAAGAGTTGGGCCTCCTAAAGTGGGTGTGAAGGCCCAGCCACCCACATCCCAGCAGCCCACCCCCTTCCAACGCACCATCAGCGTCCTGGAAGGCAGCATCAATCTCAGGGGGCACCCCTCTCCAGTCAGTGGCCCGGCGGGGCACAGGACTGTCCACACGTCGGGTGCTGGGGTGGAAACGCCAATAGTCTCCGCCTCGGAAGAAGTAGATCTTGTTCTTCTCCGAACCCCAGACCAAGGCAGCGTGGACTGGGGACTCCACCAGGCCCAGCTCAGAGATGGGTGCGGGGCCCAGGACTGGTTTCTCACCGTCGTACACCCAGTACTGAGCACCTGCCGGAGAGTGAAGGCTGCAAGGTGCTGTCAAGCCACTGCTGCCACTCCCAACCACTGTGGACCTGCTGGGCCACCACCACAGACTCTCCCAGCCTCAGTTTCCTTGTCCATGAAACCTATGGGCCAATAATGCCTGTTCAGCACCCCCACCCCCAAAGGGAGGTTGGAGCCAACTGGGAAACAACGGGCAGTGGAGGCTGTAAAGTAACACATGAATGAGTTCTAATCAACAGAGGGGTGCTTGGGGTTCCTCTCTTTTCCCTGGAATATGGCTGCCTGTCAGAAATCCCTGCTGATCACTCTGGCCCAGCCCCTGCTGTAGAAGGTCCCTGGCTGCAATGGAACCTACACGGAGTCTCCCATGCTGCACCTTTGTTTATGAAGTCCTGCCACCTGGAATGCTCCAGGCTCTCATCTCTGGCAGCTAAGAATGGAAAGTACAAGCTCCAGGTCACCAGACCTGGATCAGATCCCTGTTGTACATTTTCCAACCTGCACCCTTGAGTGAGTCACTTCACCACCTCTAGAACTGCACACCCAAGGGGTAGGTTTGAGGATAGAATACACCAACACACATGGTGCCCCAGTATGCAGCACTATCAGTGCTGTTTGATCTCAGGAGCCGCCTCCTTGGGAGCCTCCCAGCTGTGACCAAAGAGTGAGCCATGCACTCTTGGCTCTGAGCCTTCGGGGTAACTTCTCCCTTTGCATTATGTTCCTAGAGAGCTGTTTGTCTGTTGCTACCCTAGATTGTGACATTCCTGGCTCCAGGAAGTCTCTTGAGCTGATTTTCAAACCTCACTTACCTTGGAAGAACCAAATGTGGCCCTGGCCATCCTCGAAGGCTGCATCCACAGGACTAGGCAGTCCCTGCCAGTGGCGAGAGGCCAGTGCAGGGTACCCAGGCTGTAGCCGGCCGCCACGCAGCCTCCACACAAAGCCTGCCTTGAAGAAGAAGAGCTCGCCTCGGATGGTGGAGACGGCATCAAAGGAGGCCTCACATGCATCTGGTAGGGTCTCCGGCTGGGGTGGGAAAGAGGATCCAGAAGAGAGCCCACAGTGGAGCCACACAGGCCAGCAGGAGTTGAGGGAGGCACTGAGTATAGGGCCTCACCTTCTGTCTTTCCACCCTCACAAGTCTCACCTCCAGTGGTGCAATCTCGTTGGTATCTATTCCATCTTGGGGTCCCAGGGCTGGGGCATGGGAGGTGGGGGCCAGCTGCGGTCGGCCATATAGGTGCTGGATGCCCCTCTGGTCATCTGGGCTGAGGCTCAGTGGATAGCGGAAAGTGTAGAAAGGGGACATAAGGGCCTTAGCTGCTGTTGTATGTTGCAGCCCCAGTACATGGCCAAACTCATGAGCTGCCACCTGTAGCAAATCTGTGCCTGGAAAAGGGAGATGGATCAGCAAACCCCCCGACACACACACCCCTCCCACTGCAAGTCACCCAGGCTCCAGACCCAGGCTCAGGGACCATGGCAAGGGCCCATTCTCTCTAATCTCCAGTTGCCCTATCTGGAAACGGGTTGCCAGGCCATACCCTGGTTGTCCCCAATAGTCCAGTTCTCGTCATAGTCGAAGTGGACGTCCCCTTCTCGGTGGGTCTTGGGGAAGAAGGCGTGGGCCAGGACGCCCCCAGGCCCATCAAAAGGCAGGTTGTCCCCATGCCAGTACCTGTGGGTGGGTGGGGGCAGAGTCAGTGGCTGCTGGCAGTGGGGTTTGTTCCCGGAGGGGTCCCAGGCTGCAGGTTCACCTGGTGAAGTCGATCATGATGTCAGCACGGCCCTCATGCACCTCAGTGAAGGTGAGTGGTGTCACCTCGCTCCATACCCGTAGGGCCTCTGCCATTGTCTTCCGCACCTGCTCGTGCACCAGCTGCCATGGGAACCGGAGGATTCTGGGGGGAAGCAGAGGAGTCTGAGCCTGGGGCAAGGAAGCCCCTGATGATGAAGGAGCCAAGTTGCCCCTGAATGCTCAGTATGTGTGTATATGCAAGGGCCAGGGCCAGGTGTGCTCTGGGCCTCAAGTGTAGCTAGGCAGTCTCCCTCACCATGTGGGTGCATCCCTTGTGTTAGCTTGTATTTATATGTGTACAGTTGTCTGCATTTGGTGGAAAGAACACGGGACCATGAGTCCTGAGATCTGACAATGCCGTTCACTATGCGGAAACCTGGCTCCTTAAGCCTCATCTTTGTTCCCACCTAAGGAACTCCCAAGGCCCCAGCAGTCTCAGTTCCAAATCTGTGTGATACTAGACCATTGTTCTCTCCCAGGCTAAGTCTCAGCTTCCTAACTGCCTGCCCGAGAGCTTTCCAGGTCACTTGGAGAAAAGCAGGCTGCTCCCTACCCCTGTTCACCATGGTTTACACCTACACATGGCCTAAACTGTGATGGTAGATTTGAACATCTCTGGGAGGACAGGGCTGTTTCTGTCTCATTCACCATGGAGTCCCAGGCCGGGCCTTTACAGGTCCCCAGAAAAGTCTGCTGGGTGAAAAAACACCTGTCTCTAGGCATATGCTGAGACTCTTTGGATGATGACAGAGGATGCCCCCCACTGTGCTGCAGGAGGGTATGGGTCTCTGTGTGTGTCTAAGCCAGGGGGTCAGGTTTTTGGTCTATGGATGGCTGGGAGAACATGAATGGATCTGTTAGCCATGTAGACAAAGCCCTGGTATGTGTCTTAGGAGGCAGGGGTGAGGGCAGCAGGCTCTTACACAGACACACAGTCCTGCCCTCATGGCCTCTGGCCCCTACCTGTAAGTGAGGTCTGTCTTCTCCCAGCGCCCGCCAGACAGCACGAAGCGCTTCTGCCGGTTGCGGGCACTCAGCCCATCAGGTGGGTCAGGCACACCACATCGTGGAGGTCTGGGGCCACCAGCAGGCCGGAGAGCCTCCTGAGCACCAGAGGCAGATGCCAGGCTACTAGACAGAGCTGCATGCCAGGGCTGCTGCCCCCTACTCACAGGGTAGTGGTACTGGGTGTCCTGGGCAAGAAAGAGGATACAAGGGCCAGGTTAGACCTCAGGTCCTCATGGTCCCTGGTTAGATGCATGGCTCATCAGCACAGCCATGTGCAGCCCACCATGTCACTGGGCAAAGTGAGTGGCTGGCAGAAGTGCCTGCACACAGCAGGGGCTTTGGGATCCAGGCTGATATTCTGGTTTCCTGATACCTTGTTCCAAGACAGCAAACTTTCTCCTCCTCCCTTCCCTGTCTGTCACCAACCTTAGCTGCTCAGGCCAGTGTGGTTTGGTTGGAGAGACCATGAGCCTATGAGCCCCCAGTTGTGCTCTCCATATATACTCAAAGTGGACCCTAAAAAACTGCCAAGGAAACAGCAGACAAGCTCCTCCTGCTCTCCCCACCAGTGCTCAGCAAACTCATTCCCATCTCTTTTTCTTTGGTTGTCCACCGAGTTCAGACACATTCAGTCCTCAGTTATGGGAATAGTCTGCCCTTTCTCCTGCCCAGGATGCTCCAAGCGCCTCCCCCAGCATGGATGGCGTGCAGCCCTACAATTTGGCCTTGTCACCTGACAGATGCTGATAATAATCCCACCTCAACAGTGTTGACTTGAGAATGAGATACGATGGTGTGTTTTGAGCACTTAGCACAGGCTCAGGCACCTGGGAAGGTAACCAGGGTCTGATTTCCTTCTTAGAGGGGGTGCTGGGGATTGAATCCAGGGTCTCATGTTTTCTACCAATGAGTGACACCCCCAACCCCTTGAGGTCTGATTTCTAGCAGAGATGATTCTGCTCACACCCTGCCAAGGCTGGGCACATAGTGGGTAGATCACAGTGGATCTGTGATGTACCTGCCCCTTTCATGCAGAGAAGTGGGGCAGCCAGTAGTTACCAGACACCTGGGCCCACCCTGACACGGCCCCAATTCTGATCTGAGATGCAGCCTCCCAGCCTCTCCAAATCCCCAGAGCAGAAGTCACAGTTCTCATGCTTGAGAAAAGCAGAACCTCAGAGAGGTCACCCAAGAAGGGAATGGCAAGGCCATTCCAAGGAGAGGATGCTAATGCCTCAGGCCAAAGGCAATGACCTAGATGGAAATACTGCAGAAAATCCAAGTGTCCTCTTGGGCTGGAGAAGAGGTATGGAGCCATGCTGTTTGCTGAGACACTTGGCACCTGTCTGGTCTGAGCCTGTCTGACCTGGGCAGGTGCAGCTTTCCCACAGCCATATTCAGGGTGGGAGCCTGGCTGTTCAGACTCCACCCTCAGCCTCAGCCCCTGGCAGCTGTCCCAGGTTCCAGGACTCAGATCAGCAGCTCTCGTTCCAGAGCTGAGGACTCAACTTTTAAGAATGGTCCACAATGAAGGGGACTTCTAGACCATCAGGGGTACCTGGAGTTACTTGTGAGGTCCTAGACTGGTTTCCTCCTAATTTCAGGGATTGCTTAATGCATGATATCCTGGTATAGCACAGCCTCCCTAGATTGTGGTTCCAGCTGATTCTGGGGTCCCTGTTAACACTAATACCTGTTGTCATTGTGTAGGGGTAGGACCCTGCCCACAGCTGCACCCACATACTCTTAGTACCCAGGATAGAACCTCTCACAAACTCCACCATCATTGTGTCCATTTCTCCGATAAGAAGTGGAGCAACTTGGGGGCCGGGGATTTAGCTCAGTGGTGCCGCCACCTGCCTCAAAAGTGCAAGGTCCCGAGTTCAATCCGGGTACCAAAAAAAAAAAAAAAAAACGGAAGAGGAGCAACTTGCTCAGATAACATCTGACAGGGCACAGACCTGAGCTCACAAGCTACCTCTTCCCTGCTGTCTGCTTTGTTCTTGCAGATTTATCTATTCCCTGGAGGAAGGACCTAGGCTGACCTCATCTTGATGGCCGATGACAAAGAATGGGAAATTACTAAGCAACTGTTATTTTCCAAGCACTTTGCCCATGGGCTCGGTGAGCCCCACACCTCTATGCCATAAGGTAGGGATGATGCCTATCTGAGGTCTCACATCGAGGGTCTAGACTCCAGTCTGTGTGACTAAATGCAAGGGCCTGCCCACCCCCTCCAGCCTATGGGATAAACAGATTCTTTCCCCCAACCCTGAAGGGGTCTGGTCCCCTGGGAGCCCCTAACAGCCCAGAGCCCAGCCTGCCAGTTCTATTTATGCCAGAAATCTCTTCTCCTGTGCTCCCTAGTGAAGGCTGGTGCAGCCAGCCGTGAAGGGAAGGAAGATCACAAACACACACCTCACTGTGCCTTCCTCCCCTTCCTCCATGAGATTCCAAGTCCTCAGCCAGAATCCTGGATCATGGATGGCACTCCCAGTGCAGCGCAAACAGCCAAGCTCTGAGGTTCTCAAAGCCTAGTTCTACCACTATGCCTCCGGACAAGTCATTGTCTTCTTTTAGCCTTAAACTTCCCATCTGTCAAATGGAGATGGTGCCATAACAAACAGCTAAGTGATATCCTTCTGTAATGCTCGCTGTGGCATCTGTCACAGAGAAGCATTCTTTCCTGGCCCTGCTCCCTGGCCCTGTAGGTCCTTCCCTAGAATTTGCTCCCAAATTCTAGGTCCTTCCAGGACTACTGGGATCCAATGAGGTGGACTGGTGGGCATAGTAGTCTCATCTACAGCCCCGAGGAGCTAGGGGAGCAACCATCACCCTATTTCCCAGAGCATGAAAAAGAGTCCAGAGAGGTTGAGAACTTTGTCCAGGTTCACAAAGCAAGTCAGGTAAAAGCTGGGCTCAGACCTGGGCTCATGCCTCCCCGCTCCAGGGCTTTCCCTCACCCCTGCCCCCCAGTTCTTGGCTTATTTCCCAAACCCACATTCCTGAGAAGTATTTTTGTTTCTAGTGCATTCCCTCTTCCTCAGCCAGTAGCCTCCCTTGGGCTGCCCCACCCTAGATGCTCTCGCTGGCAGCCACCAACCCCAGAGTCTCAGACACACTCAAGGAATTTCTTGGCTGACCCAGTCTCCTAGTTGAGCTCAGAGTCTCAAGGTCAGGCTCTGAGCCAACTGCTAACCCAGAAAGTGGGAGTTAACTGGTAGAGGGGAGATAAGGGAAGACCCTGGGCTAGGGAACCACCAGGTAAGAACAGGCTGGGTGTATCCCTCTCTGGGCCTCAGTTTGCTTTCCCCACAATGGGGATAATTAACCACAGCTATGCCTTTTGCTGTCAGCAAGAGGCAACATTGAGAGAAGGGACTTTGTTAGGCTGTAAGAAGATAGAGGAGCATCACCACCACGCTGTTCTGTGACGCATCATGCCCATCTGAGGCTCAGAGAGGTCAGGTAACCTGTCCACGATGACAGACAGATTCATCTTCTTCCAGCTTCTAGCAGCCCCTTTCCACCCACTCCCTCTGCTGGCTCCAGGAAGGAAAGCAGCTTTGTCCCACAGGGTTGTAGAGCTTTCATCAACTCTGAAAGCTGGGATTTGGGATGGATAAATATTTACAGAGTTCTTCTGGCCTTGCTGACGACAACCTAGGGATAAACACGCTGGAGGTGACCCCAAATGCTCCCTGCACATCTGCAGAGTGACCGACAATAGCCCAGCTCAGAGCCCCCACCCTGCCAGCCTCTAATCCCAGCTCTGACCCTGCACAAGCATCAGAGTGGAAGCTACGGGTGACAGTGTCTCCAGCATACCTGGCATTGTTTCGTGTAATCCTCAAAGCTCAGCAGTAGCTACTGTTAGCCCCTCCTGTCCCATCCCCTCATTATAGGTGGAGCAATGAGGTTCTGAGGGGAAAGACGGCTTACGGCTCACCTAGTATCACATGGCTCAAACCCAGATCTCTCCAATTCCCCAACTCATAGGTTCAACTGCTGCCCAGGGTGATTCCTGACTTTGGTCTAAGTTCTAGGGGACTGGGAGAGGCTAGGGAACAGGCAGGGCCTCCCCATCCATTCTCTCCGGCTTTTCCGGCCAGTCCCTTCTCCCATAGCCAATGGCAGCCACTTGGCCCATGAGAGCAGGCATGGCTGAGCAGGTTGTCACACCCTCTGGCTCCCATCGTCACCGGAGCTGCCTGGACACTTCAGCTGTGGGGCAGAGTGGGCCAGACCCCCAGGACTGTTCAGGCCTGCAGTGGTCCAGGCTCTGGCCCCAGGCCATGCTGAGCTGTCCCTGTGACTGGTACCTAAAGCCCAGCCGTGACAGTCCCTCCTCTCCTCACTCTGCTGTGCTCTCTCTTGAGCATACATTTTCTCCTTTTTCTTTCTCTCCCCACTCTTTTGCCCCCTGAGGGTCTCACCACCCCTTTCTTTCTGACACCCATCTGATGATCACACACATTGTCACTCAGACTCCACTTCCCCCAGACTCGTCTCCCACAGGTGCCTGGGGGCCGGCATCTCCTCCACACTCACACCCCACTTTCCCCAGCGCTTTGGCTCCCCTCCCGAGCTCTTCCTCTATCCACCACCCCGCTGTACACCTGGAGGTGTGCTCAGGGTGGCCACACACCTGGAGGGTGACACCACCTGGGACCTGCTTGGTTTTGTCCCTGCCATGAATAGCAGGCCCTGTAACCACTCCCTCCTCCGCTACTTCTCCCAACACATCCCAGCATCCGCGGCTGGGGCCCGAAGAGCAGGTCCTCACGCTGGGAGGGGGCGTGGGTCCACCGCCGAGTCCCGCCTCACCAGCCCGAGCGATCCCCGCGAAGACTCCACTTGCACACCTCCGGGGACGGGAAGCTCGGTATTACACCCACAAGAAGCCAGAAGCCGTTTCTGGTACAGGCCGTGCCAGACCACCCTGGGCGCCCCAGTGGGTTCAGTTCCGCCGGTGGGCCCAGCCCTCGTGCCGGCCCTCCCTCGGGGAGGAGCTGCAGGCTGGCGGCGGGCACTCACCAGCGGCCTGGCATGGGCCAGTGGCGGCGGTGGGAGCAGCAGGAGCAGCGGGAGCAGGAGGGAGCGCGGGGCAGCGCCGCGGTGCCCGGCCACCCGAGCCATCCGCCCCGGGGCTGTTGGGCCTGCTGGGCCGCGCTGGGCTGCGGCCCCCTTATAGCCTCCGCCCCGCCCCCGTCCCGCCCCGTCCTGCCTCCCGCCGCCTTTTGTTCTAAACTCTCCCGGCAGCGGTGGCCTAGGTGGGGGAGGTGGTTCAGGAGGGGCTGGACCTGCAGGGATCGGGCCCTAGAGATGGGTCCTGTCCTGAGCGGACCAAGCCTCGATCCTCGGAGGTCTAATGCTGGGTGTAACTCTGGCCAGCCGGTGCCGCTCTGGGTCTCAGTTTCCCTGCTGGGTGCTGGGCGTCCCAAAGCCTTAGACCTGGTGAGGCTCAGAGAGTCCGATTTCACTCCTCCCGAGCCCTACCCCACCTTTAGAGGGCTCATCACCCCTCCAGGTCTCCTTTGTGGCCTGACCTCCGACCTTGTGTCAGCCTGACAGGTGCTCCTACCCTTGGGCAAGTTCCCCCACCCCGCAGAGCCAGCTGATCCATCTGTGAGGAAAGATATTTAAATGGGGAGACTGAGGCAATGGCAATTGCTGACCACTTCCTCTTTTTTTTTTTTTTCATTACAAGGAATCGAACTCAGTACCTTGTGCTTGCCAGGCAGGCGAGACGCCACTGAGCTACATCCACAGTCCCCAGTCCTTCACTTTGGAACAGCGACAATTTATAGATCGGGAAAACTGAGGTTCTGTGAGGGAGGGGCCAGGCTACTCCATACCAGGGGCCAAGTGGAGGTCTAGAGATCCTCTAGCTGAGAGGCAAGGGAAAGGTGGCCATAGGAAGGCACTAGACAGGTGTTTGAGTGGGGAACCCGAGGCCCGGACTGCCCCCACCCAGGGCCCAACAGGCTCTTCTGGATCTCCTGAACCAGAAATCTGGGACAGGAGGGAGAGGTGAGAATCAAAGGAGGGTGGTGTCTACATTCCAGAAGGGGTCCACTAGTTTCTGATTGGAGGTTGTGTCCAATCCTGCTGTGCACCTCCTGCTAAAAAGGGCCTTTCCACTACCGACCACACCGCGCAATCTGCCCCCTCATCTCCAGAGCAGAGATCCAGGGAGTGGCGCCCTTCCATCCAGACAGGCAAGGTCCTGAGCAAGGAGAGGCAGTGAGGATCCAGTTTGGGCCCAGAGGGGCAAGGGGGAGGATGGCCTCACAGCTTCTTCTGAAAGACTCCACAGAGACCCCTAGAGGTCGAGGAAGGACAGGACAGCGTGAGTTTTAGGACCAAGAGACTGCAGCTTCTTTTAGTGCCTGCCTCCCTTCGTGTGTGTGTGTGTGTGTGTGTGTGTGTGTGTGTGTGCGGGGGGGGGGCGGATACTGGGGATTAAACTCACAGCCTTTGCACTGTGCTATATTCTCAGTCCCTTTTTGTTTTTATTTTGAGACAGGATCCCAATAGGTTGCTAAATTGTCCATCAGGCCTGGTCTCAAAGCTTCAATTCCCCTGCCTCAGCCTTCCAGAGTGCTGGGATTACACTTTTAAAAGGTAAACTATGCCACACTTTTTTTAAAATTGTGGGTTTTTTGTTTTGTGTGAGTGCCTGACTTTTTTTTTTTTTTTTAGACAGGGTCTTGTTCTGTAATTCAGGCTGACCTTGAACTATGTAGCCCAGGATGGCCTCAAACTCACACCAACCCTCCAGCTTTAGCCTCCTGGGTGCTGAGATTACAGGAGTTCACTACCACACCTGGACTGCATGCTTCACTTTTTAAAGGTAAGCATTCCAATGTCTACTTCACCCTTATTTTAGTAATAGTGCTCAAATTTTTTTAAATTTTAAAAATGAGTTGGGTGAGCTATTTATACATTTTCTGATTCACATAAAAATCATACACTTTAAAGTCAAACATTTATTTGTTTAACTACTTTAAATGGCCCTGAGTGCCTCCAGGGGTGCACTGCCATGCTTTGTGGAACATGCAGGCCACCAGCCACAGGAGCTTAAAGAACAACCATCCCAGAGCAGGGGATTTAGCTCAGTGGTTTTGCCACCTGCTTCCCAAGCACAAGGACCCGAGTTTGATCCCCAGTACCAAAAAAAAAAAAAAAGAACAACCATTCTGATGCAGATCCTGGGGTGGGGACACGGTTACCAGCCAACAGTGCACTTAGCTAGGTGGGGTGGCCGAAGAATGCTTCCTGCAGGAAGAGGGTCCTGATAAGCCTGGCAGGATAGTTCCATTTGGCCAATGGGAACTGGGGGGACAGGGATTACACAAGCAAAAGAGTGGGGCTGGAGCAGGCTCATCTGTGAGGAGGCTTACACACACATCTCACTAGGAAGCCCATGCTGGAAGTGGATGGCAGCCCTCACTTCAGAGAGAAGAAAATGGAGGACTGGGCAGGGGAGGTCCCTGCTGCCCAGGCTGGTTGAAAGGAGTAAGTATAAGAATGCAGGAGTGTGTATGACTTTTGTAAAAAGTGTGTGTGAGGGCTGGGGATTTAGCTCAGTGGTTCCACTGCCTGCCTTGCAAGCACAAGGATCCCTGGTACCAAAAAAAAAAAAAAGTGTATGTGGTTGGGAATAGCTTTGCACACTTATAAATGAGTGTCACCAGGCAGGGCCAGTCCTAACTCAGCTGTCTATCTGTCCCTGCATTTTCTTCCTCCCCTTCCTAGAGGGACCTCGGGTGCCCACTTGGTGATCAAGCCTCCTCTCCCAGATGCTTGTGCTCTTGGTGGTTTCCTGGTGCCAGGCAGCCTCCTCTAGTACACCAGACTGTACAGGGGAAGGGAAAGAAGTCAGTCTCTCCCTGCCCCCATGAAGGATCACAGTATAGCCATAGCAAAATCACCCAGGAAAAAAACATTAAAACCTTCAAGTTCCTAAAAGGCAGGGAAGCTCTGGGAAGCATTCTAAATTCACACCTTTGTCACCACCTTGGCTTGGAACCAAGATGCTAAAATCCTGAGGCCTCAGGGCCTGACCTAATGGCCCAAGCTGTTAATTCCAACACTCTGGGAGGCTGAGGCAGAAGGATCACAAGTTCGAACACACCTGGGCAACTTAGTGAGACCTTGTATCAAAATAATAAAGATCTGGGGATGTAGGTCAGTGTGAATGCCTTGGGGACCAAAAAAAAGTCCTAAAATCTCAGGATTCAAACCTGTGCTTAGTTTGACCTTTGCAGGGCAGGCACTTCTAGGCACCCAGATTGAAGACAGCGTTTGTCACTGAGACAGCGTTTGGGATGGACATGTCCTGAATGTCGCATAAGCGCTGTCAGGGTCCGGCGCCTCATCCCTGTGGTCAGGATCCCAGTGGGACAGGTCGGGTGGATGCTTCGGATTTCGCACAGCCTCCCCCATCCGCGCCTGACTCAGGAAAAGTCAAAGAAGGGTCTGGACGCCCCCTAGCGGGAGTTCTGGGTCGGATGGCTGCAGACCTTCCATGCTCTACTCCAAGCCAAACCGAAAACACTAAGTAGTCGACAAACTGGTGAGCAGGGGCAGGAAGCTAAGCCCAACCTTGCACCTTCTTCCTCCGACAGCTCTCAGATTCACTCCCTGCGCTCCGCCGCGGTCCTTCTAACAAAAAGACCTGGTCCTGTCGCTCCTGGACAAAGACGTGTAGCGCCAGGTGCGGGGAGGGCGCTGGGGAACTAGGGACTGGTTTGGGAGAGTACCGCCTCCCGCGGGGGCGTGTCCCTGAAGCTCCGCCCTGCCCCTTGGCTGCCTAGTGACTAGCGCTGCAGCGTCTGTCCCAGAGACGGAGACACGGGAGACGCCGCCACTGTCACCTCAACTCAGCTCCTCCAGATCCTACCATGCCTCGGGGAAGCCGCAGCATGGCTGCCCGGCCAGCCAGGTGTGAGGAAGACAGGGGTCCCGTGGGGCGGGGGCTAAGGAAGCGTGGGCTCCCCTCCGAGGACGTCCGCGGGGTGACCTTGGTTGCTACAGCGCCATCTTGGTGGGGGGAGGGGTGGGGGGAGGAATGGGGTGCAGCAACCCCACTCCTGAGACGGAGGTCGCCCTCATGCCCTGGAGGAGGGGGCTAGTTGCCAGGAGCTGCAGGCGTCTCAAATCCCTGGAGTCCGGGCAGGATTAACCCTTTTTCTATCCCTGCAGCCGCCCAGCCGCAACTTCTGCTCACCCTCCCTCTCACCCACCGCCCTCAGCAGCCGCCCCGGCCCCCGCTCCGTCCGGCCAGCCAGGCCTCATGGCGCAGATGGCGTCCACAGCCGCCGGGGTGGCCGTGGGCTCGGCTGTGGGACATGTCATGGGCAGCGCCCTGACCGGAGCCTTCAGTGGAGGAAGCTCAGAACCTGCCCAGCCCGCTGCCCAACAGGTGAGCAGCGGGTCCAGGAGGAATGAGGCAGGATGCCCTCAAGGCCACTGGAGTTTCCTGGTGTATTCTGAGCCCCCTCAGGCCAGGGACGTTGACTAAGAAGGGTGCCATAACTCACTTTGCCGCTGAGCTCAGTGTCACTCACTGGCAGGCTCTCTCTACCTCTTCCTTGAAGCTGAGGCCCCAGGGCTTCTAGGCATTGACACCAACCAGCCCTTTAAAGATGGTGAAACCCTGGCTCAGATGGCTCAGAGATTCGCCCAAGGTCACTTAACCTTAGCGGGAGAGAGGAATGATGAATTTCCCAAGCCTTTGTTCTCACACTCAGGTCCAGTATGTCCCCTCTGGGCCCAACGGTGAAGGGTAGTGCGTAGCCATGATGCCTGTTCCTTGATGACCAGTCCCTCACCGGGGTGTCATTAGTCCTGAGCCAAATCCAAGCACAATCTTAGCAAACTGGGTCAGGGGTCATGAGAATCAGTATGGCTGAGCCAGGAAGGTGCTAGAACTTGTGGGGGTGGGACTTATACTGAGAATATATAGAGTGCAGGGCTTTTCTAGAACCTTCTATTCCTTTCCCCTACAGCTGCCTAACATGCCCATTTTGAGTCAGCAGGAAAACCTGTCGGCTTCTGCTGAGTGGCTTTGAGCAGGCTGCCGTCTTGCCCTGTTTCACAGATGGGCCAGCAGAGGCTAGACCGGGGCACACAGGCCCCAGGTCATTCAACCTACCTTAGACCCTTGGGGCATCCATGCTGGAAAAGCAAGGAGAGCCTTCAGCTCTCAGCTTTGGAACCTACCCCTAGGTACCAACCCTGAGCTGACCCTGCTGCTTCTTGCAATGTCCCCCTAGGCCCCTGTCCGTGCTGCCCCCCACCCCCTAGAGATGGGGCCCTGCTCCTACGAGATCAAGCAGTTCCTGGACTGCTCCACCAGTCAGAGTGACCTGTCCCTATGTGAGGGCTTCAGTGAGGCCCTGAAGCAGTGCAAATACAACCACAGTAAGCAAATAGGCCCTGCCCGAAGTGCGGTTGGGGGTCAAATCCTCTTTGTGCATCTGCAGGTTGACCACCAGCCTGTGCATCCCACTCCCACAGGTCTGAGCTCTTTGCCTTGAAGAGGCTGCTGCGGACTCACGGGTTAGCTCTGAGATGGCTCCCAACCACACCTCTGCACCCACCCCATCCCCTCACCGACAGCTGGACCGTGATGACAGATTGTACCTGGGATTGGGAGTAACGATGGGGTTTCTTACCCCACAGATAATCCAAGACACAAACATATAATTAAAGAGTTTATTTTAGAACACAGCCTGCTGTGTGCCCTCTTGCTGGCCTATCTGCCAGGAGCAACCTGGCTGGTGAGGTGGGGTCAGGGAGATGGATGGATTTCTTATTGTGGTGGTGTGGGAGGAGCCCTGTTGTAATGTGCACTGTGGCTAGCCAAGGACAGACCACCTTGGGCAGTCCAAAGTGAGGTAATAAGATATTAGCAGGTGACACCAAGGGCATCTGACTGGAGGCTATAATCCAGGGAGGAGCCTATTATCTCCACCCCTCAGAGATACCTGCTCCTTCCACTTATGTTTTTGCCTCTAGATCCCATTATCTGCACCCACATCTTAGGGGATCTCCTACCCACAGCCTGACATTCTGAATGTGACCTTGCCCGTTGCTGATGCAACTTTTCAGTAATTCCAGATTCCGCAAGAGGACTCCTGCAGGGCTGCTGTCTGCTTGCACCTGATCACATGAGACAGGGGTCAGAGCCACCCCTCTTGGATCTGAGTCCAGCTCGGCTACTTGGGTGTAGTGTGCCAGGTCACAGGACCTGCTGGAACAGAGGAGTAGGTCATTTGAACCCAGTGCAGACTGCCTCATCAAGCACTTTTTTACAGTACTGGAGAAGGAATCCAGGGCCTCACACATGCTAGGCAAGTCCCCTACCACTGAGCTACATCCTCAGCTGTCGTAAAGACACACACACACACACACACACACACACACACACACACATGAGGCACGCACCGCCCATGAGGTAATGCTGGAGATCTGATCCAGGCATTGAGCCCCTATTGTGTGATACCCTATTCTATATCTAAGCACTGAGGACATTCTTGCCCTAAGGTGCTTACATTCCAGCAGGGTGGGACTCATCTCATGAAACAATGTCTTCCCTCTTGGGGGTATGTATGTGGGCTTGGTTGAGGGTCTGCCTCTGCACACACCTGTCTGTCCCTTGGGAAGGGATCCCACTTCAACCTGTCTTTTTGGGCATCCATACCTTCTTCATACTGTGCTTCTGGCCCCAGCTAGCGGGCCCTGGATGTCAGTGAGACCACCCTTCGGGACCTTGAAGGAGTGCCTTGCTCCTGCTGGCTGCGCCGATTGCCCATGCGTCTCCTCCTGCTGTTACCCATAGCTGGGAGGCCTGACAGCCAGCGCAGCTCCTCTGGAAGGCCCAGGAAGTCCTAGTGGGGATTGGAGAGCAGATGTGCCCTCCCCCTGGGGCTCTGCCCTGACACTCACCTGCCAGCTCAGGATACCAGTCATCCAGGTTCTCCAGTAGGGACACATAGCGGGTGGGGGCTCCGCCTTCCCCTCCTGTGGATTGTGGAGAGGATAAAAGATCCCCTGATTGGCCTGATGGTCCCTATCCTACCTTTTACTCCAGATCTGTGCTTGCCCAGGCAAGGGAGATAGGACAGGGTACTGGGTAGGAACAGGTTGGAACCAGTCCTGGCCAAGACAGGGGACTGGATAGGACCTTGTGTTGTCTGTAGCCTGCCGTCCTTCCCTTACATTTCAATATAGCTGCAGGGAAGAGTCTTGGGCTCCACTTACTGATAATCTGCACGAGAACATAGGCCCCTCGATCCTGTAGCAGGGAACTACCCATGGAGGGAGCTGAGGAAGTCCCCTCCTTCAGGTCCTCGCCCAGGCTCACCAAGTGCCCATCCTCAGCCAAGAGGGCAATGGTTGCTGAAGGGCATGGAGAGAAGCTGAACAGAGCTGGCAGCCCTGCTGGGGGGGCTCTCAGCCCCTTCTCCCCAGACCTCTTCCCACCTCCTTACCATCTGGGGGCACCTGCCCCTTACGCTTCAGGTGGGCAGTGAGGGTCATCAGGCTGCACCAGGGGTTGACCAGCTCCCAGTGGCCAGCTGAGGGGCAGAGGTGAGCTGTTGGCATCCCCTACTTTCCCCTCAAGGCCTTCTGCCTCTCCAATTTCTCCCCTTCTTAGGGCTGTGGTTAGGGCACAATTGTCCTGGCAGATGTTTATACTGTTTTTGGAGAGCCCTCCATCCAGCTCTTTGAGTTGTGCCGCGCCCCAGCACAAACTCGGGCCTTCTGCACCTGCCCAGCAGCCCACCCCCACCGGATGGCCCCCTCCCCCACCCCTAATCCGACCTGCCTCGCACCAGAGGGGCGGGAAATAGGCAACTTCAGCTTCAGGTATCTGATGCCATTAGAAGTTTGAGGACTACTGGCTGGATGGCCAAGAGACACAGTTTTTAAAGGGCTGCACAGTAATGGGAGCTCACCCGGTAGGAACCTGCCCAGGACTCAGCTCGGGTTTTCCCTCAAGGGATTTGTTTCAGGTTTTCTTACAAGTTTGCTTCCCCAAGCCCCCATTTCTCCCCGCTCTTATCCCTTCTTCCCTCCGCTGCCTTCTCACTTCCCCCAGTGTGCCCCTCCCCCACCGGACAAGGGACCCCACTTACCTCCAAACATTACCGTGATAAACATGGCTGCAGCAGCGGGGAGGAGACAGATGTGGGGGGGCTTTTATCCTCCACCTCCTGATTCCTCAACCCGAAAGGGCTTGGGCCTGAGATCTACTCCAGGGCGGGGTCCTGCTGAGGAGATGTGGTCTTGTGAAGGTGGAGGGGTGAGTGGTCGCGCCCAGGTCCCGGCTCAGCCACCTGCTCTGGTAGTCCTAGACCCCTGGCCTCTTCCTCCTGCCGCCTGCTGGGCCAGAGTAGCTCCCCCAGCTCCTAAACTGGTCTCCATGGCAGTGGGAGCCGCTAAGACATCTAGGCAGGAAATACCTTACCCCCAGTATCCCGGTAACAAGCTGGCAGGGCGGACATTCCCTGAGGCGGTGCTCTGATCAGGCTCATAGTGAGGGCTCCAAGCTGGGGGTCCGGGGATGTTCAGATGCAGACATCAGAGCCCACATTCACCACCAGGAAGAGACAGAGTCCCCAGCCTGGAAGAGGTGGTTGTGTTTGTGCCCCTACCAACCTCTGCAGGCTCTCTACCACCTAGGGACCTCCCTGTGCTGGCTTTCTTTCCCTCTCTGCCTTTCTCCTCTCTCCTAGCCTTCCACTCTTCCATCCTTGTTTCTTTTTCTTTTCTTGTCAAGTTTATTGAGGTATAATTTACACACATTAAAATTTACTCTTTTCAGTGTTTTGAGGGTTTGTTTTTTGAGATACTAGGGATTGAGCCTACCTTTCACTGAGCTACATCTCCAGCCCTTTTTAAATTTTAATTTTAATTATTTATTTTGAGACAGGGACTTGATAAAGTACCCAGGTAAGACTCAAACTTGTGATCTTGGGCCAGGGATTTAGCTCAGTGATTCTGCCACCTGCCTCAAAAGCGCAAGGTCCAGAGTTCGATCCCCAGTACCAAAGACAAAACAAAAAAAACCTTGTGATCCTTCTGCCTCAGATTCCCAGAGTGCTGCAACTACAGGCATGTGTCACTATGCCTAGCTTGTTTTTGAGTTTTGTTGGATCACCAACCACCACAGTTAGAATACAAAACACTTACATCATCCCCAAAATTCCTTTGTGCTATTGTAGTTGAAGCAAAATGGAGACACTTTTTTCAAGTCCTAATCAACTCTCTCCAAAATAAATAAACCTGGGAGGTCACAAAAGAAGGAAAATCTCTTGCATGCACGTCTGATAATAAGAGCTATCCACAACAAGCCTACCAGAACCACAATCTTACACAAAGGCCACCAAAGCCTCACACAGAAATGCTTCTGCAAGGACATCTGCCCAGCGACTGTGTGTTTAGTCTTGGACTGACGCCACTCTTGTTATTGACACTTGTAGCCAAGGATTATTGCTGCAAAATATTTTATGGTATTCATTTCACCTTTTGAAATCTCCCTTTGGCTCAACCTCCTTGAATACACTCATAGTTGACTATGTGTAAGTGTATTCCCATTGCAATGTTACTCTATCCCCAAATAAATTTAATTAATCTTTAGAAATCTCTCTTGAATTGTTATTTAGGCTGACATAGTCAACTCTAGTCAGTGGTGTCCACTGCTCTTTTTTCTGTCCATGCCTTTTCCAGAATGTCATATAAATGGAACCACACAATATGGGGCCTGTTGTGTCTGGCTTCTTTCATTTAGCATGATGCATTTCACATTATGTGTATTGAAAATATTTCCCTCCTTATTGCTGAAGTGTCCCATTGTCTGGAGGTACTGCAGTTTGTTAATCTATTCACCTGCTATTCTTTTGGGTTGTGTCTAGCTTCTGGAGATTATGAATAAAGCCTGTATAGGTGTTTGCCTACAGGAAGCAGAGGTTTTAATTTCTCTAGGGATTGCCAGGTCAACAGTGTATGTTTAGTTTTATAAGACACTGCCAATGTGTTTGCCAGTGTGTCATCATTTTGCATTGTCTTGCTATCTCCTGGATCGACAGTGTGCCTTAAGCACTTTTTTTGTTAGTTTTCACTACCATCAACTCTTTTTCGAGTACTGGGGCTTGAACCCAGAGCCACAAGCATGCTAAGCAAGTGCTTTACCATTAAGCTACACTCCCACCCCCTCATCAGCTCTTGCCATCATTTCTTGTCTATTTTTTCTTGTCCCTTCCTTTCTGCCTCCTTCCTCCCTTGTTCCCCTTCTCATTTCCCAACATCTATTATACATTTTAGTCCTTATTTCTACTTTCAATTTCTCACACCAGAGAAACAACTCAGTATTTAAACAAGTGTGTCCAATTTATTTCACTTAAGAGTATGGTCTCAAGGTACATCCATTTAGTTATAAATGTGTCAAGCTCATCCTTCTTTATGGCAGAGTAGTACTCCATTGTGTAAAAAAAAAAGCATTTTCTTTATCCATTCATCAGTTGATGGACATTTGAGCTGTTTCCAAGATTTAACTATTATAAACTGTGCTGCTATAACACTGGTTTTTTTAGCAGAGCAAGTTATTTTATACAAAGTAATGTCTTTTACAACTATACAATTTCGGACTGGGGACTTAGCTCAGTGATTCCACCACCTGCCTCGCAAGCAGAAGGACCCAAGTTCAATCCCTGGTACCAAAACCAAAACAAAACAAAACAAAAACAACTATACAATTTCTCCTTTTAAAGTGAGTTCCCTGGGCTGGGGATTTAGCTCAGTGGTTCCTCCACTTGCCTCGCAAGCGTAAGGACCCAAGTTTGATCCCCGGCACCAAAAAAAAAAAAAAAGTAAAGTGAGTTCCCTCATACACACTGTTCTAATTTATAGCATCAACGCCACTGTGTATATTTCAGCAGTGGGTCTGCTTTGTTCTGGAGTTGGTCCAAAGCTAAGTAGGGTTCCAATGTCCAAAACGTTTAAACATTTTACTTTAAGAAGTCTCCGGGTCAGTACTAATTTCTTCTAAATACTTTAAAAAAATCATTATATTATAGGCAGCTAAGTTAGATAGAAATATTCTAGGCAGACAGGGTCAGGCCCTCAAGGGACCCAGTGGAAAAGATGAGAACACATCACAACTGTAGCTAGAGGCGCATTTGTCAAAGGTGAGGCCTCAAGATAAAGATGCAATGACCAGGCTTACATGCCACGCCAAGGGATAAGCAGTATAATTAGTAGCACCTGATCTGGGCCAGGAAGTACAGCTAGACATCAGTCACCCAGTTGGATGAGCATCCGGACTCATCCCTTCCCAAAAATGTCCTTGTTCTTTCCATATACCCTTGCTATGTGATCCACTTTCCTTTTGGATCAATGTTAGCTAACTGGCTATACTTGTAATCTTATTGGTTGATTATAGTTTGAGTCACATTGTACTCACCTCATGGTTTTGTACCCACCTCATGATTCTGCTCTGTAAAGCATTCTTAGAGAAGTGACCTCGGTGGCAACCCACTTTCGAGTCCCCTCCTGTCTCTCAGGAGCTATTGCTCAATAAATCTTTTCTACTCTTAACCTCTGTTGTTTCTTAGATTCATTTTTTTATTTTAAGGGACACAAACTCTGCATTTCTGACATCTAGCAGGTTGGGAGTTATATTTTCTCCTGTATTGTTATATTTCCACATTGTGCTCGCTTCGGCAGCACATATATATTTCCACAAAAATACTGGAACCCTCACTATTAATCATTTCAAGCCATCCTAACACTAAATGATCCCTGTAATTTAGAACCCCTGTATCTTTTTGTTTTGAAGACAGTCATATAGCCTTACTCCAGCTTATTAAAAAAATTCTACCTGAAATGTTGTTGTTGTTTTTTGGTACTAGGGATTGAACTCGGGTCCTTGCGCTTGCGAGGCAGGTGGCGGAACCACTGAGGTAAATCCCCAGCCCTTGTTGTATTTTTAAAATAACAAATAAATATATCGTCTGCTAGGAGAGACGTGGGGGACCTGATGTTGCATAACAAATTCCTGTATCATTTCTTTACAAACGCTGCTGCCACCATCCATGTCCTTATGCTTTCTCCTGCCAAACCTATTGATTCTTCAAACTCAGCATTTAATTTCTGCGTTACCCATTCCACCGCCTCTCAGCCTTTATCAGCTCTTCGTGACATCATGGTTGCCATCATTCCTTCAAGGTAACAATGTGGCGGACTCCTTTCACTGTGAATATGGCTTCCTGTTTCAAAATGTTTTGCTTTTTTTCTGGGTCCTGAAGATGTGGTTTGAATGTAAATCTCTCATCTACAGAAACCATATTTGTAAATGAAATATTGGATTTAGGTTCCATTGTTTTCTCTACAGGATCCACTACAGAACGTTCTTGCACATGTTTTGGTTCTTCCTGCACCAATAATAGACTTTGCAATGGAAGGCAGCACCCACTCCATGCTGAAAAGCGTGTGCCTGTGCAGGTTTCCAGAGGGGTCTATGCCTGTCCAGCAATCAACTCCACCCATACCCGGGTTATGAGAGTGTGTGTATCTCTGTGTCACAGCTGCTTTAAAAGTGTCCCATGGGTTGTCAAAGACATATACTCTAGGCAAGGCATGGTGGCACACACCTGTAATCTCAGAACTTGGGAGGCTGAAGCAGGAGGATTGCCATGAGTTTGAGGCCTACATAGTGAGTTCAAGGTTAGCCTCAACTACACAACAAGACTGTGTCTCAAAAAAAAAAAAAAAAAGACATATTGGGCCAGGGATTTAGCTCAGTGGCACCGTGCCTGCCTCGCAAGTGCAAGGTCCTGAGTTCAATCCCCAGTACCAAAAAGAAAAAAAGTCATATGCTCTGAAGTCCACATCTTCATGGTGCCAGCAGCCTATTAGATGTCTAGACTGCACTAGGGGACAAATGAGAGTATATTGTTTTGGTTGGTTTTATTGTTTTTTTCAGGGATGGTGAGGTCAACAGATCAAGAGACCAGTGCTCTTGACAAGATTGTGTTACTCTGTTCCCAAGAGGAGGAGGTCCCTAAGCCATGGGTTTTACACCAGGAAGCACTACCATTGGTCAGGGGGCAGAGGGAGAGAGAGGAAGTGTGAGGAGGGACCTTCTTTGGGGTTTCTGCAGAAAGGAGTGGGCAAGGCAGGATAGGCAGGTTTAGAAATGGCCAGTTTGAATAACTTCAGTGGACTCTGGAGCATAGGGGTCGTTTCCAATACAATGGCAACTGGCCCTAGGTGATCAACAGGTGGAGTTTGAGAGTCCAATAATGGAGGGGTTGGTGGGTGTGGGCTTAGGATTGGTAGGTTTGCATTTGAAAAATACATAGCAGTTTTATATTTCTAGAGATAAGATAACCTTGGGGGTGGTGTCAGTTCCTCCAGGGTTAACAAGGCCCCTCCAAGATTAGCACTGGAATATAGAAAATAAAAGACACACTTATTGTGTTAGTCAGCTTTCCATTACAGTGACAAATACCTGAGATAATCAACTGAAAAAAGAGGAAAAGTTTATTTGGCTCATAGTTTTGGAGGCTTCAGTCCATGGTCAGTTGGCCCCACTGCTGTTAATCCCGTTGTGAGGCCACATATCATGGCAGGAGCATATGGCAGAGAAGTTGATCACCTCCTGGCAACTGGGAAACAAAGAGGTAGAAAGTGGATGAATTCCCAGTAAATTATTTGAGGCCATGTCCCCAGTGACCTGAGGCCTCTTACTAGGCCTCATCTCTTAAAGGTTCCAGAATATCCCAACGATGCCAAGTTGAGGACCAAACCTTTAACACATGGGATTTTTGAGGGACATTTCATATCCAAACTACAGCACTTAATAAATGCAGTGTGCCCAGCCCTGGGGAAATGACCCAGAAGGGTTTCTCTCCCCAGCTCCTCCCTTTGCTCTCTGCTTCCTGGCTGCCATAGGACAAGAAGCTGTCCTCCACCCACACCCTTCCAGCATACATTTTTGCCTAGGAGTCAGTCAACCATGGACTGAAAATGTAAGCCAAAATAAACCTCTCCTTAAAGTCACGAGTTTCACATATTGTGTCTTAGTAACCAGAGACTAAGACAACATCCTCTCTTTGGGTCTTCACTACCCCCTAGCTACCAATGTACTAATCTTTTTTTTTTTTTTTTTTGGTACTGGAGATCAAACTCGGGACCTTGCGCTTGGGAGGCAGGCAGCGGAACCACTAAGCTAAATCCCTGGTGCAAAATTTT